TCTGGGGCTGGGAGGGCCCAGGGAAGGGTTGAGGCCTTGAGGATAGCGGGAAGAGGTCTGGCGTGCAGGGGCGTGCAGTTTGCAGGAAGCAGAGAGCAGCAGCCCCCGCCCCCCACACACCTCTGGGGAGCCAGTGCAGGAGGCCCGTCCAGCAGCCGATGAGCCAGCGAAGGACACGGGGGCGCTGCCCATGGGGCACTCCAGGGGGCATTTGGCCTGGTCCCTTCCCCACAATCAGAACCCACTCCCCCCCTCCAGCTGCCCCCAGGCAGCCCTTCGGTTCCACTGTGGCCACCGTTCCCAGTACTCCTGACTGCCAGTTCCAGGGGAGTGGGCTGGCCTTTGCTGGGACAGCCCAGGATGCCCCGAAGGGGCGGGTGGGGGCAGCTGACTGCAGACCACACCCCACAGTACAGGGAGACCGCAGCCGACGGACGTGAAGGATAAAAGAGGGAGAGACCGCGGGCCGGGATGGACATGGGCTGGGGCCGAGGAACAGGAAGGTGTGCCCTGCCGTCCCTGCCCTCCTGCCGTCCCAACCCTCCCGCCTGCACCAGGCACACGGGACTCCCAGTACCCGCTCTGAGGGCAGTGTTCCCAGACTGACTCTGATCCCTATGTGGCTTCACTCCCTGTGGGGGGTGGGAGGGCGCTCTCCAGGTTGAAGTGGTCTGCACCTTGCCACTGAGGCAGGCTACCCTGGACCTGACGCCCTGGGCCACCAGTCTTGCACCCTGGACCTTTCAGGGCAGACCTGCCACCAGCCCCTCCAACCCCTGCCCCCTGCAACCTCGAGTCTCCTCCAGAATTCTCTTCCTGTCCTTGGTAGGCCGAGAACTCGTCTAAATCAACAATGAAAAATGACAAGAAAGCTGGGTGGGCATAGTCCCAGGGGACCAGGTGGCCAATGCCCAGATAGATGGTTAGGATGCGCTTCTGTGTCAGGCAGTTCCTCCAAGCAGTGAGGACCTGGACTTGGTTTCCGGGTCCATCAGGTCAACTCTTGGGCATCTAGATGCTGGTGGTGAAAAATCTAGAATGATGTGGGGTTCAGAGCTGTGCTTTGCACCCCCTACCCCATTCAGCACCGCCTTCCTGGCCCATCCAGTGGCTGGCCAGTGTCCCAGGGCAGCTGGGCNGCCGCGTGCTCCCTCTCTGTCCCAGGATGCCCGCGCTGCAGGTGGTGTTGCCCTGGCTCCTGCTCCTGAATCAGGTGGGACCGCGCTGCCGGGGCCCGGCCTGGGCTGCGGGGCTCGGGGTGGGAGGACCCCGAGATCAGGGGATGGGCGCGCGCTCCAGTGAGGCTGGCACCGGCAGGGTTACCCTAGAGGAAAACCGGATGAAGCGGGAGTTTTGAGTCAGAAAGTAAACCGTTAACACACTACACCCAGTTACCCAGCTTGAGGAGGTCGCAGTGGGGAGTCTTTCCCTCCCGAACCCCCAGGCCCCCAGGCAGTGCGGGGAGGGCGGGGCTCCGGTGGGGAAGGGAGGCCGGCCGGGGAGGATGGGGGGTCGCAGAGAAAGGAGAGAGGTGGGGGGACGGAGGAGAGAAGGGATCGAGGGGGGAGGAGGGTACTCGCGGAGATTGTCTTTGCTTCCGGAGGAAGCATCAGCACAGATAAGAAACTTCTAGTAATCGTTTCTTGTTTTCCTCCACCTACAGGCAATCACCGAAACCAGTGTGGTTTTCACACAGGGCCAGGGGCTTCCAAGCTCCCAGTCCTGCAGCCCCAGCGAATACTTGATAGCGGGCCGCTGCTGCAAGGCCTGCCCAGCCGGTAAGTCCTGGGTCCCCTCCAGTCCCGGGCAGGGTTCTTCCAGCCCACGTCCCCAGGCCCTACCCAGGCCTGCAACAGGGGGCTGTGTGTCTCTTTGCACTGATGGCCAACGCATCTTGTAGCACATCCTGGACTGGGGACGTCCCCACTTCCACGTGCTCTGCAAGAGGTGAGCCTGCTTGGGAGGGCCCAGCTCCCGTCCTCTTCCTGGGCCGTTCAGCCAGCAGGGGCTGCACGTTGAGTGTCCGGAAGCCTGGTGACTGTTTAGAACTCAAAAGGATCCAGAAAAGCTGTTATACTCACAGTTACGGCTGCTTTTGGCAAAAGAAGGCACGGGTCAGTGTAGAGGTGGGTGGGGCAGGGTCCAGGACTCAGCACCATCTTCCGGCTGTGCTACCCCAGGCAGACGGCCGTGCCTTATGTTGCACATACTCCTTGGGTGACCTTGCATGGACTTCGCTCACCTGAGCCAGTTATGCAGGGTTTCCCCTGGGGGCCAGTCACACAGGCATGGCTGCCCACCAGCATGCCAACAGCCCATGCTGCTGACCTTGAAGCCTCTGGAGGTCAAGGTGGTACAGTGTCGACCAGGGCTCTGAGTCTTCACAATAAACTGTGTGTTAGCCCTATCTGTCTGCCATGGTGTCAGCCTAGGGTCCTTGCAAGGCAGCCTGGTGCGTTGTGTCATCTTTTCCAAGAGTGTGATACAGTTGAGAGATTTAGTTTCATCAGAAATGCCAAGACCTACTTTTTCCCATGTCCTCTTTGGAGCAGCAAGGCCAAGGGCCTGGTGGGTGAGCGGCCCGGGTGCAGGCTCCGCCCCCGCCCCTGTCTGCCGCCCAGGCCGGCATGTTGGTGAGCACTGTAGGAGGCCGCACTCCTGGGGAAATTGTCTGCCCAGGACCTTTATGAAGTACCTCTATGGAGTGGAAGCCTGCTTCAAGTGCTCCACCTGCTCCAAGAGCGAGTCTGCAACCAGAGCCCCTTCCTTGCCCTCGAATGCCCTTCAGTGTCCTTGTCCTTGCAGTCTGCCGCCCTTGGACCCAGCTGTGGTCAGGCTAGGTATGTGCCCTGAGAAGCCATTACAGTTGAGCCTGCACAGGCAGCCACGGACTGCTGTTCACCCACGAACATTTAGGGAGATGCTGAACACTCTTCCTCCGGCATCTGAGAGAGGAAGGGGGATATGTCACAGAAGCTGACACTCAGTGGATACTGGAAGGATTTGGCCAGAGGACCTTTTATTGATATAAAATACTGTTCCCAAAGTGTTGTGAAAATGGGTGGAAAAATTAGAAGCAAACCGTACTTACACATATAGATCTGAAATTCTAAACAATTCTTTTTCATTTTTAATCTTTTTTTTTTTTTCAGTTTGTAGGTTAGTATTCAATTAGAGAAGTTTGAAAATACACACAAAGTGATAAGAAAAAAATCAGCTCTCTGGGAAGAAACAGAAGTGGGAGGGCTAGGACAGAGGGCAGGTGTATCCCCACCCTTTCCAAGGGAGCTGCAGATGTCATCGAGTTTCTCCCAAATCCCGCAGGAGGCATTTTCTGAGAGGGAAGGTACGCTCCCTTCCTGACCCGTGAGCTGTGCTCACATCCAGAAAAAGGAAGAGTGATTCTCTAACCTTCTGTCCACATTCAAAGTTCCTGGGACCCAGGGCTTCCCAGCAGGTGCTAGCGGTGAAGAACTTGCCTGCCAATGCAGGAGAGAAAGTTCCTGAGATCCGATGTTTCCTGAAGGTTTTCCCCTGTTCATCTTTGGAGACCGAGGGGGAAACTCTGTCCCCACAGGCCCCAGGGACTGACTCGCAGGGGTTTAGCCGGAGCTGGACTTTTCTGTGACCAAAATGAGAGAGTCCCCCGCGCTCCAGGCTGCCCTAGGACATCAGTGTCCCTGCTGGCCCGGATTCCACAGAGCTGACGAGTGAACACGCTGGTGGGAGAAGCATTCTCCATATTTTTTGTCTGCCACAAAGGGCTGCAGTCCTGATAGCGTGGAGAAGCCAGCGGGTCACATTAAACAGGGGTCGGCCATAGCAGAGGGCTTCGGCCAGGGACCCTTCCCGGGGCCTCTCTAGTGTGTGAGGAGGGACTCGGGTTCCCAGGAGCTGAAGGGAGCTCATGACAACAGGAACGAATATGCCCGGGCCACTGGAGTGGACGGTGGTGGGAGCGGCCCCCTCACCCTGGGCATGTCAGGACCACCTTGGGTGGACGGCTGTGGGGGTCGGGATCTGTCTGGGACCCTTCTCAGCAGCACCCCAGTCCCAGGCTTCTGCCTGGGGTGGTGGGTGCACGTGGGGAAGGAAACCCTCAGCCGCTTCAGTGCTCAGCCCACTGGGGGCCTCCCTGGGGGTTTCCCTTCAAAACACAGCACGGAGTCCCACAAACCACCCCTGACTGGACCCCCTGTTCCCCGGGCTCCCCCCCGGCCCCCTGGCCCCCCNTGGTGAGATGGAGTCTCCCCTCCGATTCTGGAGCGCTGCTCCGGGGTGCTCTGGCACCTGCTTCCTGGGGAACCGCTAGTGTCTGGCCCGGCGCCGTGGTGTAGGCGGGAGTCAGGACTCACGTGCCTGCTGTGGGCAGGGCTGGCTCTGTCACCAGGAGGCGGAAGGGCAGGCTGGAGGGGGTCCAGCTCACCTGCAGTTTCCTCCGCGTTTTCCGCTCTGTGATCCGGACTTTGGGTGGTTTGTTCCCAGAAGAGGGTGGGGACCTGGGCGATGGGTTAAAGCCGGGCCCAGGACACGACTTCTAGAGAAACCAGTCATCACCACGCAGCACAGCGCCCAGAGCAGGGAGACTGGAGGGCAAGTGAGCACGTCACCCTCCGCCCTGACGGACCCGGCTGGGCATGAACACGGCTACAGTAGGGTGATAAGCCTGTAATTTACAGCCCTTGGGGCGGAGCCATGGGTTCCTGAGCCCGTGTTTAAAGCAGGGCTGATTCCTTTTCCCTTGGTACACATGCCAACCAGCAAGGCAACAAGGCAACAAATATTCACAGAAAAGGAAAGTCCATAAGCCTTCCTGCCAGTGAGACGGAGGGCGTGCTGTGTGTGTGATGCTGGTGCCCTGGGCTGGGGCTACGCTGCCCTCCCCTTCCCCCCCGCCCCATGTTCCCCACGCGTGGGTGCTGCCTGCCGGGGCCCTGCGGGGAGCAGGGAGAGCCTCCCTCCTGTTGGTGACAGCCAGGACCCGGGCGTCTCTCTCCACCCAGGTGTCCCACCGGGCACGTCGTCGTCCGAAGGTGCAACGCGACCGCGGATACGGTGTGCTGTCTGCCGGCCCCACGTAAGAGTCATCCTTTTTTTTTTTTTTTTAACCCTGTATCTCTTTTAAAGAGATGGAATTCACATAACATGAAATTAACCACTTTTAAGTAAACAACTTAGTGGCACTTAGTAGGCAGCCTCTGTCTAGACCCAGCATTCACAAAACCCCCAAGGACTCCCTCCGCTGCTCGGCCCTGGCCAAGACGGACCTGCTTTCTGCCCCAGACCAGCCTTCTCTGGGCATTTTCTGCAAATGCACGTGTATTATGCATGTGTTCCTTTCGTCTCTGGATCCCTGGCTGCAGCTCAGCATTTTCAGGCTCCATCCTTATTGTCAGCTGGTTGGGGCTTCAGTTGTTTTTGTGGCTCTGTGAGATTCAGATAATAATACGGATGTACGTGAATAATATAAATGTACAAATTTTACCAGTCATTCATCTGTTTGCACTGTCACATTTAGAATCAGTCAGTTCAGTTCAGTTGCTCAGTCGTGTCCGACTCTTTGTGACCCCATGGACCACAGCACGCCAGGTCTCCCTGTCCGTCACCAACTCCCGGAGTCTACTCAAATTCATGTCCATTGAGTCGGTGATGCCATTCAACCATCTCATCCTCTGTCATCCCCTTTTCCTCCTGCCTTCAATCTTTCCCAGCATCAGGGTCTTTTCCAATGAGTCAGTTCTTCGCATCAGGTGGCNTTCAGCTTCAGCATCAGTCCTTCCAATGAATATTCAAGACTGACTTCTTTTAGGATGCACTGGTTGGATCTCCTTGCAGTCCAAGGGACTCTCAAGAGTCCTCTCCAACACCACAGTTCAAAAGCATCAGTTCTTCAGTGCTTAGCTTTCTTTATGGTCCAACTCTCACATCCATACATGACTAGTGGAAAAACCATGGCTTTGACTAGATGGACCTTTGTTGGCAAAGTAATGTCTCTGTTTTTTAATATGCTGTCTAGGTTGGTCATAACTTTCCTTCCAAGGAGCAAGCGTCTTTTAATTTCATGGCTGCAGTCACCATCTGCAGTGATTTTGGAGCCCAAGAAAATACAGTCTCTCACTGTTTCCAGTGTTTCCCCATCTATTTGCCCTGAAGTGATGGGACCAGATGCCATGATCTTAGTTTTCTGTATGTGAAAAGCCAAGCATTTCTCATGATGTACTCTGCGTATAAGTTAAATAAGCAGGGTGACAATATACAGCCTTGATGTACTCCTTCTCCTATTTGGAACCAGTCTGTTGTTCCATGTCCGGTTCTAACTGTTGCTTCTTGACCTGCAGGTTAGGGTGGTCTGGTATTCCCATCTCTTTAAGAGTTTTCCACAGTTTGTTGTGAACCACACAGTCAAAGGCTTTGGCATAGTCAATAAAGCAGATGTTTTTCTGGAACTCTCTTGCTTTTTCGAGGATCCAGCGGATGTTGGCAAATTGATCTCTGGCTCCACTGCCTTTCCTAAATCCAGCTTGAACATCTGGAAGTTCACGGTTCATGGACTGTTGAAGCCTGGCTTGGAGCATTTTGAGCATTACTTTGCTAAAGTGCAATTGTGCAGTAGTTTGAGCCTTCTTTGGCATCGCCTTTCTTTGGGATTGGAATGAAAACTGACCTTTGCCGTGCAGCTCCTGCTCCAGCGACATTTAAAATAAATAGATGCATAGTCCTCCCGCCAGGGCTGTTCTTTCAATAAACCCTGAGGTCGAGTCCGTGTCCTGGGCTGGTGGGAAGGCTGCAGTGCGCTGGGTGCGGGGATCTGTCCATGGCCTGTCTCTGGTCCTTTGGTCACATTCCGGGGGCGGAATTGCTGAGTCTGTTTCTGTTTTATCCTGTGGCTGCTGACCTTGTGGGGGTCTTCTGTCTTTCCCCTTCAGAGAGGAGACACCGGTGCTCTCTGCTTGGAAGCTTGGGCTTTGTCTTAGTCGTGATGTGCCTGAATTTCTGGGTCACAAAACGAGCTGGATTCCCTGACGGTATAAAAGCACCCATGCCTGACTTCTGGCGGGGGCAAGCAACCACGTGGGGGAGGCTGAGTTTGAAGGGCCAGGCCCATCCTCAGGGCCGCCTGGTCTCCAGAGCTGGGGGGTCCTGGCACCCTGAACGAGCCCCTGCCTGGAACCTGGCACAGAGCTGTCAGCAGCTAGGCCAGGGCTCTGAGACGGAGGACCGGGGCGCAGTCACACCGGCCCCCGCAGCAGTGGGTGTCGGAGGCCCAGGCCAACCTGCGGGCCAGGCCGTGTGCAGGGCAGGCTCCGAGGGGACGCACACACTGCAGGAACCCAGTGGTGGAGCCCAGGCCTCTTGGGAGGTTCTAGAAATATCGGGGCCAGACAGCTGTGAGGAGGGAGGCGTGCCAGGCTCACTCCTGGACGTCCCTGGCAGGATCCCTGGGCCGGGGGAGGGATGCAGGGCACGCCAGCGCTGCAGGAACCCTGGGGCCTAGAGTAGAGCCTCCTGCCCCCCGCTAACCGCACATCCGCTGTCTGTCTTCACAGGAGACCCTGAATGCGTGGAGATGGTGACCGTGGTCCCGGGCCGGGGGCGTGCCTCCTCCATCAGCCCGAGCTCCGTGAAGGTAGCCCCGGATCCCATCCCCTGCCCACCACGGAGCCTTCCAATCCCGCCGCTTTCCCTGCTCTTGATTCAGCGGGAGCCACGGGCCCTGAGCTGGAGAAATCTTTGATTCAGTTCACGATGGGAACCCAAGCCACCCAAAGGCCCTGTGTCCTGGTGAAGGCACCCGAGCACTTGGTCAGGGCAGAGCTGGGGCCAGACCCAGCCCATCGGCCCTGCTTCGTTCTCTGCAAACCTGCCCTGCCTGAGCCTCCTCAGGACCCTCTTTTCCCTGGGGTCGGGGGACACCTGCTTAATCACCCATGCTAAAATCTTTTCTTGTGTTTTTAGCTGCCTCAAAACTCAGTATCCAGCATGCCGTCAAATCAGGACAGAAGTGCAGAGTCTTCAGTACCTATGAGAGGAAATCCGAACCAGCCCGAAGACAGCGTGGACATCCCGACTGAGGCCCCTGCCGTCACCAGGGCCCTGCATAGCCTGTAGGATGTCAACGGCCCACAGGCTGTGGCAGGCGAAGGATCCCGGGCCCTGGAGTGGTCCCCACAGCCCGACCCCCCTGCCCCCGCGGAGACGGCCGAGCTCCCCGTGGACCTGGAACAGGCAGGACAGTTGTGAGTCTGGAAGTTAAGAGAGATGACAACAGCATCTGTCCCAGCGAGGCTCCTCTCCCAGGGTTCAGTCGGCAGGGAAACCCCTGGGGAGATCTGCACCCTGATTTCGGGGGGGACCCTGCGTGCCACGAGGTGAGCAGCAGAGCCTGGCCTGGAGGCCGTGTGTGCACCCAGTGTCCCCCACAGTGGGGCTCAGGCAGCGTGGCTCCGCCAGCCCCACGCGGTGTCCTCACTCTGCCGGGACCAGGTGCCAGAGGGGTGGGGCTGGGTCTTTGCTGCCATCTTAAATGACTATAAACCGAGAGGCTTAAAACCAGAGTCACACTGTCTCACAGTCTGGGGGCCAGGAGTCGGGTCAAGATTCACAGGCCTGGTCCCTCGGAGGCTCCCGGAGGGTCCTTCCGTCCCTCTGCTAGCCGTGGCCGCTGGCAGCCCTTGGCGGGTAAACCCATCCCTCCAGTTTCTGCCGCGGTCATCCCATGTCCTCCTCCTCCGTGTATCTGCGCCTGTCTCTCCTCTCTTGGGAATAAGTTGCTGCGGTTTGAAGCCACTCAGTCAAGGGTCACATGTTCTAGAACGACTCATTGTGACACTGTGCAAGCTCCCCTCCATCTGCTGGTCCCTGTGGCTTTGTCTGTGGTGTCCTTTCATAAACGAAATCTTGGTATCAGTGGAATCAGGTCCATCAGGTTTGAACCTCACCAGCCGTAGGTTTTACATCTTGTTTGAGAAGTCCTTCACATGCCCCAGTCACAGATCCTTGACACTGACCTGCGTCTTCTTACTCAGCTTTACAATTTTCTGGTTTTCATTTGCATGTTTAATGCCCACGGACTTCCCTTCTGTGTACTATATGAGGTGAGTGTGAAAGTCGCTCAGTCATGTCTGACTCTTTGTGACCCCATCGACTGTATAGTCCATGGGATTCTCCAGGCCAGAATGCTAGAGTGGGTTGCCATTTCCTTCTCCAGGGATCTTCCCAACCCAGGGATCAAACCCAGGTCTCCTGCATTGCAGGCGAATTCTTTACCAGTTGAGCCACAAGGGAAGCCCCTACGATGTGAGGTAGGAATCCACATATACACTGGATGTCTGGCCTCCGTGGGGACACAGCCAGCTTTCCGTGAGGACACAGAGCATACATGCGCACAAAGTCTTTAGTGTACATTAGGGTACACTCATCGTGTTGTACATTCTACAGGTTTAGACAAATGCGTAGGCCATGTTTCTACATTTACAGGGTCACAGAATAATTCACCATCCTGAAGTCTTTATGGTTGTATGTGAATAGATTAATTCACTTTTCCATCCCTCCCCCTCCCACCAGCCCCCAGTAACCACTGATCCTTTTACTGGCTCCATCATTTTGCTTTTTCTCAGAATGTCACGGAGTTGGAACTATAACCAAGCAGGACCCAGAGGCCCTCCTAGAACATACCCACCCCCAAGCACCATGTCCTCAACCTGTTCTCTACCTGACGCCCTGGGCCACCTGTCTTGCACCCTGGACCTTTCAAGGCAGACCTGCCACCAGCCCCTCCAACCCCCGCCCCCTGCAGCCTCGAGTCTCCTCCAGAATTCTCTTCCTGTCCTTGGTAGGCCGAGAACTCATCTAAATCAACAATGAAAAATGACAAGAAAGCGGGGTGGGCATAGTCCCAGGGGACCAGGTGGCCAATGCCCAGATAGATGGTTAGGATGCGCTTCTGTGTCAGGCAGTTCCTCCAAGCAGTGAGGACCTGGACTTGGTTTCCGGGGCCATCAGGTCAACTCTTGGGCATCTAGATGCTGGTGGTGAAAAATCTAGAATGATGTGGGGTTCAGAGCTGTGCTTTGCACCCCCTACCCCATTCAGCACCGCCTTCCTGGCCCATCCAGTGGCTGGCCAGTGTCCCAGGGCAGCTGGGTAGGAAGAGTATGGAATGGGTGTCAGGGAGGGTGGAAACTCAGGAGGGCCTGGGCCCAGGGCCACACCCTGCCCTCTAGGTTCCCCACAGCAGCAGGAGGAACTTTCACTGTGACTGTCTCCTCACCTTGTCACCGCTTTGGGGGAACTGACAGCAACTTCTACTAGAAAGACTTTCTAGCAGATGCTGAGTCGGTTCAGGGCTCAGAGACTCAACAGCTGGCCAGCCCCTCCTGGAGCATGGGATTCTAGGCGCGGGTGGGGTGCGGGACGCTGGAGGAGGTGCAGGAGTGAAGGGGCCTCACCGCGCCCCCCCCCGTTGATGTGCTGGGCTCTATCCTGCTCTGCGCAGGAAGGAAGGGTCTCACCCCCTTGAATCCTCTCATCCATTGCAGGGCATCCCACCCACCTGGGTCTAACCAGCCGCTCAGAGGATCCGAGGGGGTCGGGGGAGGAGGGGAGACAGACGTGAGGTTTGCAGCAGCCTCAGAGCACTCGCCGGAGCCCCTGGGGCATCTGGGCCCGAGGGCGCGCGCGCCGCGGGAGCCGCCTGGGCTGGGCTGAGGGCTGGGCTGAGGGCTGGGGCCTGGGCCCCCGGGGCGTGCAAGCAGGGTTGGTGGTGCGGGCAGGGAAGCGCAGAGCCGACGGTCCCTCACCCCACCCTCACCCCACCCCACGTGGCTTTCGCTGGGGGGAAGCAGAAAGGGCGGTTCTTAAGGACGCCCGGCAGCCGGAACTCCGCTCGCGATTGGGCGGCGGCGGTGTCACGCTCCGGAGGGGGCGGTGCCAGGTCTGCCTATTTAAGGGTCGCCGCAGGCTCCTCGGCCCCGTTACCATGGCCGGGGAGCTTGCGGTGCTGTTCATGGTCTGGAGTCAGGTGGGACGGCAATGGCGGGGCCCGGGGCCTGGGCTGCGGCGCTCGGGGTGGGAGGATCCGGAGATCCGGGGAGGACGGTGTGCCGGGGCGCGCGCCCCACTGAGGCTGGAACCGGCCGGGGCACCCTAGAAGAAAAACTTGGATGAAGCGCGAGTTTCACCGGAAAGGAAACCGGTAACACCCCGCACTCAGATACCCAGCAGGGAAGCTTCCCCATCCGGGGCCCCTTGCGGGGTCCAGCCTGATGCCTCGTGTTTTGCCCCCAGGGAAGATGCTTTGGTGCCTTTTCATCTGCCTGTTGACCAGTCATAAATCTTTCTTGGTGACGTATCTGTTTTAATCTTTTGCTCATTTTCTTGTTTTTTTTTTCTTCTGATTGTTCAGTTTTAAGTATTCTTTATGTGCTTTGGATATAAATCTTTGATCAGATAAATACGCTTTTCAAAGGTTTTGTCCAAATTTGTGGCTGCTCTCTTTATTCTCCTAACCCCATCTTTTGTAGAAATTTTCTATTTTGATGAAATCCAGTCGATCAATTTGTCCTCTGTGACTGTGCTTTTAAGCTTCCTGTTTTCTCCTAGATTTTCTTCCAGCAGTTTTTATAGTGATACCTTTTATTTTTTTAATTTTTATTTTATTTTTGGTTTTGCTCCCCTTGTGGCTCAGCTGGTAAAGAATCCACCTGGAGTGTGGGAGACCTGGGTTGATTCTTGGGTTGGGAAGATCCCCTGGAGAAGGGAAAGACTACCCACTCCAGTATTCTGGCCTGGAGAATTCCATGGGCTGTATAGTCCATGGGGTCTCATCACTGACTCAATGGACATGAATTTGAGCAAGCTCCAGGAGATGATGAAGGACAGGGAAGCCTGGCGTGCTGCAGTCCACGGGGTCGCGAAGAGTCGGACATGACTGAGTGACTGAACAATAACAAGGGTCTAACTCCATTTTTTTGCACGTAGATGTCTAGTTTTCTCAATACCATTTCCTCTAAAGACTGTTCTTTCCCCATGAAATGGTCTTGGCACTCTTGTCAAAAATCACTTGACCACATACGTGAGGTCTGGTTTTGGGCTCTGTTCTATTCCAGATATTTGTCTTATGCAAGTACCTAAATGTAAACCCACTCCAATATTCGTGCCTGGGAAATCCCATGGACATAGGAGCCTGATAGGCTACAGTCCATGGGGTCGCACAGTCGAACGTGACTTAGCAGCCAGACAACTGTTTTGATTATTGTATCTCTGCAGTAAGTTTCAAATTCTCTAACTTTGTTCTTTTTTTTTTCAAGACCCTTTTGGCTATTCTGGGTGTCTTGAGACTCTATATGAGTTTCTGTGTGGATTTTTCTTTGTGCAAAAAAATTCATTGGGATTTTGAAAGGGATTCTGTTGGATCTTTAAATCACTTTGCACAGTACTGACGTCTTCACAATGTTCGGTCTTCCAGCCAATGAACATAGGGTGTCCTTACACTTATTTATGTTTTCTTTAAGGACTATTTATACTTTTCTGTTTACATCTATCACCTTGCTTCAGTTAATTTTTCACTGTTTTATTTATTTTGATGCTATAGTAAATGGATTTAGTTTCTTTATTTCTTTTCTTAATTGTTCACTGTTAGTATGTTGAAACGCATTTAATTTCTTGTGTTGATTTTGTACCCTGTACTTTTTGCCAAATTTATTTTTGATGCTAACAATTTTTTAATGTCACAAAATGACATATTTATGTTCTGTGCATAAAACATAGATGAATAATTGTCTTATGCATTTGCCTTTAAAATGTGTAGGAAAGTGGGGCTTCCCAGGTGACTCAGTGGTAAAGAATCTTGCCTGCCAGTGCAGGAGATGCAAGAGACTTGGGTTTGATCCCTGAGTCAGGAAGAGCCCTTGGAGGAGGAAATGGCAACCTACTGCAGTATTCTTGCCTGGGAAATACCAAGGACAGAGGAGCCTGGTGGGCTGCAGTCCATAGGGTTGCAGAGAGATGGGCATGTACACACACCAAGGAGAGATGAGGGTCACCGAAAAAAAAAATTGTGTGGGAAGTAAACGCTGAGTTACACACCAGTATCGTAACACTCCCTTTTATAACGTCTGTGCGTTTCCCCTTTCTCTTTTCATGTAGGCCTGAGTTACTGTGTAGTGACCTTTTGTTTCAACCAGGCTCACTTTAGCATTTCTTCCAGGGCAGGCTGCATGTCAACAAACTCCCAGTATTGCTGGATATAGAATTCTAGGGAACAAGATTTTTGTTTCGTTTTTTAGCATCTTGAATGTATCAGCATATTGCCATCTTGAATCTGTGGTTTCTGATGGGACATCTAGTAATCTGATTGAGGGTTCCTATCATTTCTGTCTTGCTGATTTCAAGATTTTCTTTGTCTTGGGACAGTTTGATTAGATGATTCAATGTGACTCTCTTTGAATGCATCCTACTGAGAGTTTGATTAACCTCTTAGATTTATATCCTGTATCAAATTTGGGATGTTTTAGGCTGTTATTTGTTCTAATAATCTCTCTGCCCCCTTTTTCTCCCTCTCTCCTCTTCCTGAGGCCTCACAGTTCATATGTTGGCTCCCCTGACAGGGTGCTGGAAGTCCTCTAAGTGGTGTTTAGTTTTTTAAATCTTTCTTCTTTCTGTTATCAAATGTTTTGCCTTAATGTTCTCTGACTCTTATCTTTTGCCTGCTCACACTTACTTTTGAATCCCTCTAGTGAATTGTCCATTTCAGTTACGGTACTGTTTCACTACAGGTTTCCTTGTTAACTTCCTTTTCAGTTTCCTCTGTCTTTATTGATGTCCTTCTTATGTTCATGTATTCTTCTGCTGACTTGGTCCCTGTTCCTTTAGCTCTTTGAACATCTTTAAGACAGTTGGTTTAGAGTTTTGTTTAGTAGCTCTGCCGTCTGGTCTTGCCCAGGAATGGTTTCTATCAGGTTTGTTTTTTTTCCTCTGAGTAGGCCATGCTTTCCTGTTTCTTCGAGTGCCTTGTGATACTTTTGCTGAAAATGGGAGGCGGCGGGGAACTGGTGCTGGTGGGTCTGCAGACCACCTTCAGATTTTTCCAGTGTCCCACTGAAGTCCTCGAGTTGAGCTGGAGTCTTTTCTAGGCCTCTCTTTATTCTTTTTTACTTAACTTTTAAAAAGCAGCTTTCTTGAGAAATAATTCACAGATCAGGGCTTCCCTGGTGGTCCAGTGGTTAAGGGTCCGCCTTGCAATGCAGGGAACGATCCCTGATCTAGGAAGGTTGCGCATGCCACAGGGAAGCTCCGCCTGAGCGCCACATTACTGGACCCAGGCTCTAGAGCCTGGGCTCTGCAATGAGAGACGCTGCTGCAGCGGGACGGCCACGCGCGGCAGCCAGAGAGCAGGCGCCACGGGCAGCAGCCGTGAGGACCCGGCCCGGCCCAGCAGCTAACTCAATCAAAATGTAGTAAAAAAGTAGTAATTCACACGTCATACAATTCCACCCATTTAAATACTTTTTTTTTTTTCAGTATTTTCATGATCTGTGTAACCACCACCACAGTCTATTTTAGAACATTTTTCCCCTCAAAAAGAAATCCTTTTTTTAATCAACCCCTATCTCCCCATTTTTTTTCCCCTGGTGGTTCAGAAGGTAAAGAATCCACCTGCAATGAAGGTGACCTCAGCTGGATCTCTGGGTCGGGAAGATCCCCTGGAGGAGGGCATGGCAACCCACTCCAGTATTCTTGCCTGGAGAATCCCCATGGACAGAGGAGCCCGGCAGGCTACAGTCCTTGGGGTCACAAAGAGTCCAACACGACTGAGCGACTGACCACATCTCCCCATCTCCCCTCACCCTAAGCAACCACTAATCTACTGTTTGTCTCTAGTTTCCCGATTCTAAACATTTCATATGAATGAAATCATAAAATACATGAGCTTTATGGTTGACTTCTTTTACTTAGCAGAAGGTTTTCAAGAGTCATTCATGTTTTTCAAGGCTCATCCATAATATTCCATTGTATGGATTTTTCCCATTTTGTTTTAACTTTTAAACACAAACCTGTTGGTGAAACTGTGGATAAACAGAAACACTTTGTGTTCATTTTTTCCCCTGTACCTAATGACCCGCTCGCCCTCGCTTGTAGTTTCAGCAGTTTCATTTATTGTTGTTTAGACTCTTAAGTTGTCTCCAAGTCTTTGCAACCCCGTGGACTTAGCACACCAGGCCTCCCTGTTCATCTCCATCTCCCTGAGTTTGCTCAAACTCATGTCCACTAACTCGTGATGCCGTCCAACCATCTCATCCTGTCGTCGCCTTCCCCTCCTGCCCTCCGTCTTTCCCAGCATCAGGGTCTTTTCCATTGAATCAGCCCTTCCCTTCAGGTGGCCAAAATATTGGAGCTTCAGCTTCAACTACAGTCCTTCCAAAGGATATTCAGGGTCGATTTCCTTTAGGATTGCCTGGTTTATCTCTTTGCTGTCCAAGGGCCTCTCAAGAGTCTTCTCAGCCCCACAGTGTGACTGCGTCGTTTCTTTATGGTCCAAGTCTGACACCCATTTGTTTGTCCTCCACCCTGAGAGTAACGGGCACAGATTAGTTATCTCTTAAAAATTTCAAAGTAATTGGTTTCTCCTCTGAAGCAGTCCGAAGTATATTTCTTCAGAAGATAAAATTTCGCTTCTATGAGACCCTTCTTGACTCACTCCTCAACTTGACTGCGTTTCTTTACATCCCGTCCTAACTGCCTTTGGGCTGTTTGTTCCTCTCTCTTTTCCTTTTATTTCCCAGCCTGTGGGATTAGTTCCCCGACCAGGGTCAAACTCACCTTGCCCGCATTAGAAGCTCGAGGCTTAGCCTTGGAGTGCTGAGGAAGCCCTCTCTCTGACTCTCTTGAACCGTCATTGTTGTCTAGTCATTGGTGCAGTGTTTACCTCGTCAGGAAAATCCACTTGACTATGCTGGTGAGAGACTCTACCAGCTTCTTTAACGGTGCATCCTTACCGAAAGCACCCTCTGTACCGTTGCTCATTGCGTGAGTTGAATTTTTCAAAAAACGAATGAGCTCATATTTAATCTCCATGGAACTATCTCTTTATTCCGTAGCCTTAGCACGGTTGAACGGCGCTGACAGATCGTATAATAGCGTGTTTCTCAATTTGGCTTTATCTCATGGCTTCTCATTTGCAGTGAAAATACTGTCTCGGTGATGTCGGGTTCTGGAGGCTTGGTTCAGGTGCTGGCTGCCAGGTTTCTTTGCTGTAAAATCACTGTTTCCCTGTGTCGTTACCAAGTATCTTATATGGAGTTGCTTTGAAATCATGTAACTGTTCTTTTCTCTCATATTCATTTATGAATGTTAGCATTTATTGATGATTCGAGAGAAGAATCATCTTCTACTTTTTTGTAAAGTAGATTTTCTTCTTTAAAGCTATTCAAGTACTTTTTCTCTGTGAGTTTTTGCTTCATTTTTACTAAGGTGAAAAATAAATCAGAAAAAAAAATACAAATAGAGTGTTTGCCATCAGGCGGCAAAAAAAAAAAACAAGGATCTGGAAGACAGGGCATAAGGGAAGCAGAAGTCGGAAAAGAAAGGGAGAAAAGAAATCATAGAGAAAATGTGATATCAGGAACAGAAGAGGAGATGGTAGAAATCGACTGAGAGTGCAAAGCCAGTGCATATAAGCAGGTTAAACTCATTTGTGAATTATCAGGATGAATTAGAAAAGTCTTGTACCTAAGAGACAGTCTTACGGCAGAAACAGCCTCCTGTAGTGCAGGCGGACAGACAGAGGGTATGAGCCAAGCATATTCTCACTCACAGCATCGTCACAGTCAGATCGGAGAGCATGCAGGCTAGAAAGCATCACCGACTCGGTGACCAGAGGGGCAAGCCTCAGAGGAGGTAACAGCGGATCGTGCGTTCCGCTTTCACCTGTGATAGGATCGCTTTGAGTACAGAATTAACCACCCAGACCACATCCATAGAGGAAACCACAGTTAGGGTCCTGTGAGCCTCTGTCAGCACATTGTCATCAGCCTGTCAGTATGTAATCTTGGTTTACGTGTGTTTCTGTTTAAAGACACCTGATTTAATATAGACTTAATTCACTACCTGGGAACTCACGGCCAGTGGCACTGTATGGCCTGCCTCTTCAAAGTTTATTTAAGATGCCTTTTTTCTACATGTGTAGACACTTCACAGCCTTCTGTCCTTCAGAACACCAGGTGAGACTGGCTTGGAGACCTTGCTTTCCTTTCCTTTTTGCCGAGTCACACGGCATGCTTGATCTTAACAAACACATTTCAGTAAGTAGGCAAGTTCAGAAACACTGAATTCAGCAAACAACTGAGGCTCAACTGTCCTAGAGAAACAAACGTGAAATCGTATATAAACAGTAACACCTCAAAATACAGAGAGCAAAGAATGACGTAATTACGCGATGAAATCTAGAGTCCGCAAACTTGGTACGAGAGCTTAATGTCCCTCCAGGCCAAGGAGTTGAGCAGGATAGGAGATCAGCGGGGCTGTGCAGTGATCGGGACCTTGTAATTGACGGGCTCCTCTGTGTTGGTGAGTGTGCGCGTTCACGTGCGCCATGACGTGCACACTCACGATACACAGACGCTCAGACCCCTGTTCCCAACACACAGACAGTGTCCTTTCTTGGCAAAGTCTGTGTGCAACTGCTGAAAACATGAACTGTATGCTAGAAGAAAATCAAAGACTCACTAAATTCCAAAGGATCACGACCACAAAGGGCCTACTTCTGACCAGGCACAGGGTATAGACGTCAGCCACGGAGGTGTCAACAGACCCACATGCACTTGGGGATGAAGGAGCGTGCTCCCCACATAACCCTGCTCCATACTGTGAGCAGAGCTGCAAGGAGGCCGAGGAAAGCCCCCGGCCTGAGCCTGCCCAGCAGCGCCCTTTCCACAAGGGAGGCAGTACCCCGGGGAGCTGGCACTCCCTGCTCAGGGTGTCAGCGTCTGCTTCCGTCAGGAGCGGAGACATCTTCTGAAAATGCCCGTGTCCCCTCTCCCATCCAAGGTGACTATGGCAACAGCGGAGACCATGTGTCACCCAGACGAATATGAGGTTCCAGGCAAGCCTTCTTGCAGCAGAGTCTGCCCGGCTGGTGAGTCTGGGGTGATTTCCAGGGAAGACTTCCTGCTTGGGAGAGGGGAGGTCGGGGACCCTTTGAACACAGCTGGGCGCAGCCTGTGGGGAGAACCCAGCTGTCTGGGGCGGGGGAGAGTCTGTCCTTGGCAGCCACCAGCACCCTGAACCCCGTCCACACACACAGACACGCCCATGTGATCAGCGAAGTCCCTTCCCAGCCCCTCTGTGAGGGGCAGCTGTCCCGTCCCCACGGGCATCCCCCGTCGCGCACACCTGCACACAGGCCGCATCTCGTCCGGGAACCTGTGCCTCCCAGGGGCCCGTGGTTCAGAGCCCAAGCACCTGCTACCTGGACCCATAGCCCTTACCCTCCCCATGCTCCCCAGCCCACCCACCTGTACACACACTGCAGACGTTCACACACACACATCTCTGCATTCACACGCACACCTGCACGAACCACATGTAGGGAACAAAGGGACGCTGTTGGTCTGACTTGAAGTCTTGTGACCTTGCTCCAGCGCCCAAGCGCTGCAAGGCCCCGGTAAAAGCTGGGGGGTGATCTGGGTCCCTAGTCTCTGGGACGGACACCTGTCCAGCTATTCCCAGGAGACTGGGGTGGGTTGGGGGTACTGTGCAGGGGGTCTGGTCTCCAGGTGCCTCGGGACCTCCTCCAGCTGACTGGGCGGGGTCCCCACCTCCCCTCCATGTCCCACCTCATGCAGGCTATCACGTAAGCAGACCCATAAGCCAGGACCACCCCATCGGAGCCTGCTCGCCGTGCGAGCCTGGAACTTTCAGAGCTCATCCCAGCGTGGAGACCCAGTGCATGCTGTGTGCCCAGTGCAGAGAGGGTGAGTAGTGGCAGTCTCGCTCACATGCCCCGTCGACCAGCCCGTGGGAACCTCCCCAAAGGCAGCGATTGGTCCCAGAGGAGGGTGGCGGGAGCCGTCATCATGGAGTGCTTGTTGGTCACGATGCGGTGTGTGTTGCCTAAAGAAGCAGCTACAGGTCATTAGGGTTTCAGACTTGCTGAGTATCAGTATGGTACACAGAAGTTCTTCTATCTCTGTGTATCGATGACATTGTTTAAATAGGTAATTTTCCATTTTATTTGTCTTTAACTGGAAGATAATTGCTTTGCAATGGTGTGTTAGTTTCCACGGTACAAAAATGTGAATTAGCTAAGTGTATGTTTGTATGCCCTTCCTCTTCAGCCTCCCCTCTAGCACCTTTGAAACGTAATTTAAAAATACCACTTGCATTGGCAAAAAACAAAAATTTTTTGGAATGAATCTAGTAAAGCATGTGTAAATATACATGTGAGAAAACTACCTTTAATGAAACACAAATGCAGAGAGAAATACCACAATATAGTAAACAAGAAGGCTCAGGGTTTTGTTTTTCTTTTGTTTTGACTGTGCTGTGTGGCTTGCAACATCTTAGTTCCCAACCAGGAGTTGAACCTGGGCCCCGGAAGTGAAAGCTTCAAGTCCTAACCACTGGACCACCAGGGACCTCGTTTAGTGTTTTATAAGGATCAGTTTTTCCTGGAATGGTGCTTAGATTTTTGTGCATTCCCAATGAAAATTTCAGTATATCAATGTATAAATCAATTCATCTTGCCATAGACTTTAAACTGATACAATTTTTATTTTTAAGAGGTAAAAAATGTGAGACTTTGCTGGTGGTCCAGTGGTTAAGAATCACCCGCTGATGCAGGGCACAAAGGTTCATCCCCTGCTTCTGGAAGATCACACATGCCCCAGAGCAGCTCAGCCCGTGGGCTGCAGCCGCTGTGCCCACACGCACTAGAGCCCGTACCCTGCAGAAGAGGAGTTACCACAATGAGAAGCCACAGCAAAGAGTCGCACCCGCTTGCCACAACTGGGGAGAGTGTGTACACAGCAGGGCAGAACCGCACGGCCAAAATTAAATGCATAAATAACAATTTTAAAAAAAGGTAAAAACGTCCCAGCAGGAGTTGTCATGAGCATGCTGTGCTGACACCTGCTGGAACAGCTTCCTTCTTTGCTGGAAGATGAAAACCAAGATAGCACCCTAGCTGCCCCTCGTATTAGACTCTGAGCAGAGGCAGTGAGGCAGAGCGATGTTCACGCGGGGGCAGAGAGTTGGCTCCGTGGAAAGAGCCGCATAGACGTGAGATGTGGGTGCGGCTCCGGGACCCAGCCCTTCGCAGGTGGAAGGGCAGAACCCTCCAGCGATGCTGGGAGAGACCGTTCTCGGTCCACGCCGAGTAGGGCTGTTCTGATCTTCCTGGAGAAATGAGTGGACATGTTGATTTGGGGTGTATCTGAGCAGTTGGCCCTCTGCCCCCAGCCCAGATCACTGGGGCACCCACCGCTCCTCCTCCGACACCCAGCCGGCAGGGGTGAGGTCTGGAGGTGGTTGCATGTGCTGAGCCTTTGACTGAACCTGGACGTGGCCGGGGGACAGGACGGAGTCCAGGCCCCGGTGACTGACCCTCAGCCCACCTCCAGCAGATCAGGAAGTGGTGAAGCGCTGCTCCCCGACCAGCGACCAGGAGTGCCAGTGCCGGCAGGGCAAGTTCTTCTGCGACTCCGTGGACTGCACAGAAAGCTGCATCCGGTGCTCAAGGTACCACCCAGCGGTGGGAGCCGGCCAGCAGGCCTGGGTGGGAGCTCTTTTCTCCACTCACTGCCTGTTTGTTTTCGGGTCACTTACTCAGCCACCCCCTGCCCAGAGCCTCTGTTTTCCCATCTGTGTAATGGGGCTAATGGTAGCACCGGCCCCAGTGAGGAGCCCTGAGGATTAAGGCAGACGAGTCACCTGGAGGTTTCCACATGGGGGCGAACTGGAGTCATCGCTCATTCATTTCTTCCTGCTTTCAGTCACTCACTCATGTATGACTGTGAGCCCCGCTGTGGCCTGCGAGGTCATGTTGCAGGCCTGGGCCCCAGCAGTGGTGGAGAGCATCCCAACACATATGCAGTGATGGGCTCGTGAGAGACAGAGGGGCTGCAGGAGACAGGGCCCTAGAGCGGAGGCCAGGGAGGGCGGGATGGACGATGGAGCCACAGGACCTCCAGGGGGAGGAGAGCTGTAGGTGGGGGGCGCCCCCCAGGCCCTGGGGCCCAGATGGGGTGGCCAGTGCGTGTTTTCTGCCCTTGATGTTACAAAGCATCACGACCGGGAGGCTTTTGAAAAACAAGAAAAATGTATCCTTTCGCAGTTCTGGAGACCGGAAGCCGGAAATCGAGGTGTCGGCAGGGCCAGGCTCCCGCCATAGGCTCTCGGGAAGAATCTCTCTCGCTTCCTCGGCTTTGCCGGCACTCCTTGGCGCTCCTTGGCTTGTGGACGCATCGCTTCAGTCTCTGCTTCTGCCTTCCAGGGATCTTCTCCCGTGCGCTCTGTCTCAGCATCTTCACATGGCCTTCTCTCTGTGTGCATACAGTTTCCCTCTTGTGAGGATGCTGGTCACTGACTGAGGCCCACCCTGATCCGGTGTGACCTCCTCTTAAAGGGTTACGTCTGCAGAGACCCTGTTTCCACATGAGGTTGCGTTCTGTGGTTTCTGGTGGGCTTAGATTTGGAGCAGACTTTGAGGAAGACGCTCACAGTGGTAAAGCCACTGGTAAAATCACCTGCGTTTGTAGATGCTTAAATACAGCTCAGACCAGCTTGCACTGTTGGCTCGGGATCCTGCCAAGTCCAGAGGAAGGACCGCCCCCAGGTCTGGGTCGATCAGCTCTGGCTCGTCCCCTTCTCCACGAGCCGCGTCTCAGGCTGCCTTCCCTCCTGGCAGAGGTACGGCCACGGCAGGTCCAGTCCTCGTGGCCACACGCAGAGCTCTGTCCGGGGACACGGACAGAGCTCTATCCCCCATCTATCAGAGAGTCCTAAGTTTTATTCTCATTGATCCAGTGTGGGCCAGATAGCCCAGCACATGCCAGACACTGGTGATCTGAAACCTCATGGGCCTGCTGAGGATGTTGGGTTGGTCCCTCTAACCCCTGACCGGTGGGTGGTGAGTAAGATTCTTTGGGTCGGCCCAAGCAAGGGGAAATGATGCTCACATACTAAGTATCTCTGCAAATCTGTGCAAGACTATTTTCCTTTTCTTTTTTTAAATTGGAGTCTTGGTGATTTACATTGGTGCAAAGTGGCTCAGTTACACACACAGACACGTATATGTGTGTGTATGCTAAGTCACTTCAATCGTGTCCGACTCTCTGCGACCCCATGGAATGTAGCATGTCAGGCTCCTCTGTTCATGGGATTCTCCCAGGCAACAATATTGGAGTCGGTTGCCATGCCCTCCTCCAGGGGATCTTCCAAACCAAGGGACTGAACCCATGTCTCTTGTATCTCCTGCACTGGTAGGCGGCTTCTTTACCACTAGTGCCACATGCTTCCTCATAGCTCAGCTGGTCAAGAATCTGCCTGCAATGCAGGAGACCTTGGTTCCATTCCTGGATCAGGAAGATCCACTGGAGAAGGGATAGGCTACCCACTCCAGTATTCCTGGGCTTCCTTTGTGACTTAGCTGGTAAAGAATCCGCCTGCAATGAGGGAGACCTAGGTTCAATCCCTGGGTTGGGAAGATTCCCTGAAGAAGGGAAAGGCTACCCACTCCAGTATTCTGGCCTAGAGAATTCCATGGACTTTATTGTCCATAGGGTTGCAAACAGTTGAACACAACTGAACAACTTTCACTCACTCAGCACCACCTGGAAAGCCCCATATACATGTATATAGTCAAAGCTATGGTTTTTCCAGTAGTCATGTATGGATGTGAGAGTTGGACCTTAAAGAAGGCTGAGCCAAAGAATTGATGCTTTTAAACTGTGGTGTTGGAGAAGACTCTTGAGAGTCTTCAAGGTCTGCAAGATCAAACCAGTCCATCCTAAAGGAAATCAGTCCTGAATATTCATTGGAAGCACTGATGCTAAAGCTGAAACTCCAATACTTTGGCCACCTGATGAGAAGACCTGACTCCTTGGAAAAGGCCCTGATGCTGGGAAAGACTGAAGGCAGGAGGATAAGGGGAGGACAGAGGATGAGATGGTTGGATGGCATCACCGACGCGATGGACATGAGTTTGAGCGAGTTCCAGGGGATGGTGAAGGACAGGGAAGCCTGGCGTGCTGCCGTCCGTGGGTCCAGAGTTGGATATGACTGAGCGACTGAGCAGCACCAGCAAATATATACATCCATATTCCTTTTCACATTCCTTTCCATTGTGGTTATTATCACAGGATACTGAATGTGGTTCCCTGTGCTATACAGTAGGACCTGTTTTCCTGTTTTGTAGACAGTGATGTGAGTCTGTTCATCTCTAGCTCCTTATTTATCCTTCTCTCACCACTACTTCTTTGGTAGCCATAAGTTTGTTTTGTTATGTCTGTGGGTCTGCCCTTGTTTCCTAAGTTCATTTGTGTCATATTTTAGATTCCTCAGATAAGTGATCTCACGGGGTGTTTGTCTCGCTGACGTCACTTCGTGTGATCATCTCTGGGTTCCTCCCGGTCTCTGCTGAAGTCTTGCCCATTTTTATATGGGCTGTCTGGGTTTTTATTCTCTCATTTTTGATGCTTATCTAGAAACATTGATAATTACTTATAAATGTGGGACCCAAGCTCTTTGTGTTGGGGTATCTGGGCCTCTTGTGGATAAAGGTCCTTCATTTTAACCAGGTCAGGTTTGTGGCTGTTTTCTACCAGGGCTGGTGTTCTTCCTGTCCTGAGTGAAAGACCTTTGCTCAGCTGGAGAAGGTGTTCTGTCTCGTGAGCTGCCAGCAGCTTCTCTTTGCCACGGTGCAGGACCACAGTGGTGTCCGTGTGGTGTGAGCCAGGGGTTTTTCCCACTGCACACATCGGCGACACCGCATCGTGTTTTGAATCTAGTCTCTTCTCCACCCTGAGTGTTACTGGGTCATCAGTGAGCGCCATGTCCCCCTGGGCTTCCCTCTCTTCCAGGGTCTGCTCCACCTTCCTGCTGGCCTTCTCGTTGGAGCCCGAGTCCCCCTTGCCACCTTCCCCAAGGTCATCATTTACAGTTACATTTTTAAATAAGCTTCTTGATTTCCCGCTGATGTGAGTAACAGAGAAGTGTTTTGCTTTTTACTGGAGCATAGTGGAATTACAATGTTGGGCTGGTTTCAGGGGTACAGCAAAGTGAATCGGTTTTAAAAAAGATAACTTGTTTACTTTGACTTTTTGGTTGTGCTGCGTCCTCTTTGCTGCATGCGGGCTTTCTCTAGTTGCAGAGAGCGGGGCCCCCCTCTAGTTGTGGTATGCGGGCTTCTCGTTGCACCAGCGTCTTCTGTTGCCGAGCACAGGCTCTAGGGTACACGGGCTTCAGAAGCTGTGATTCACGGGCTTAGTTATCCTAGGGCGTGTGGAATCTTCCCAGACCAGAGAGTGAACCTGTGTCCCAATCATTAGCAGACTTAATTCTTAGCCAGTGTACTACCAGGGAAATCCTCTGTCCACTCTTTTTGAGATTATTTTCCCATATAGATCGTTACAGGGTATTGAGTAGGGTTCCCTGTGTTACGCAGCAGATCCTTATTAGTTATCTCTTTTATATATAGAAGCATCTATGTGTCATTCCCCTTCTCCAACTTTATCCCTGCCCCCCCCCACACACACACACACAGATACTGGTAACTAGCAGCTTGATTTTGCATCTGTAACTTCTGTTTTGTAGACAAGTTCATTTGTAACCATCTTTTAGATTTCACATACAGGTGATATCACATAATTGTCTTTCTCTTTCTGACTTACACTCAGTATGACAATCTCTCTGTCCATGCATGTTGCTGCAGATGGCATTATTTTCTTTTTACGGCTGAGTAATATTCCATAGCATATATGTACCGCATCTTCATTATCCATTCCTTGTTTGTTTGTTTAACTTTTCATTTTATATTGGAGTATGCATGTGTGCACGCTCAGTTACTAAGTCATGTCCAACGCTCTGCGACACCACGGACTGCAGTTCACCAGGCTCCCCTGTCCATGGGCTTTCCCAGGCAAGAATACTGGAGTGGGTTGCCATTTCCTTCTCCCTGGGACCTTCCCAACTGAGGGATAGAACCCAGGTCTCTTACTTTGGTAGGCGGATCCCTTACCTCTGTGTCACCTGGGAAGCCACGTTGGAGTATAGCCAATTACAGTTTTCAGTTCAGTGGTTCAGTCGTGTACGACTCTCTGTGACCCCATGGACTCCATCACGCCAGGCCTCCCTGACCATCACCAACTCCCGGAGCTTGCTCAAACTCAGGTCCATTGAGTCAGTGACACCATTCAACCATCTCATCCTCTGTCATCCCCTTCTCCCACCTTCAATCTTTCCCAGCATCAGGGTCTTTTCTAAGGAGTCAATTCGTTGCATCAGGTGGCCAAAGTATTGGAGGTTCAGCTTCAGCATCCGTCCTTCCATTGAACACCCAGGACAGGTCTCCTTGAGGATGGACTGGTTGGATCTCCTTTCAGACCAAGGGACTCTCAAGAGTCTTCGCCAACGCCACAGCTCAAAAGCATCAATTCTTCGGCGCGCAGCTTTCTTTATGGTCCAGCTCTCACATCCATATATGACCACTGTAGAAACCACAGCTTTGACTAGACGGACCCTTTTTGGCATTATAATTTCAGGTGGACAGCAAAGGGACTCAGCTATACATATACATGCATCCATTCTCTCCCAACAGAGAAGGAAATGGCATCCCACTCCAGTTTCCTTGCCTGGAGAATTCTGTGGACAGAGGAGCCTGATGGGATACAGTCCATGGGGTCACAAAGAGCTGGACACGACTGAGCGACTAACAGACCCTCTCCCAAAGTCCCCTCCCATCCAGGCTGCCATGTAACATCGAGCACATTTGTCTGTGCTATTCAGTGGGACCTTGTTGGTTATCCATTTTAAATTACAGCAGCAGATACATGTTGATCCCAGGCTCCCCAGCTATCCCTTCTCCTCTGTCTTCCCCTCCTGAGCAACCATAAATTCATTCTGTGAATCTGCTTCTGTGTTGTAAATAAGTTCATTTGTATCCTTTCTTTTTAGATTCCATATATAAGGGATGTCATACAATATTTCTCCTCTGTCTGACTTATTTCACTCAGTATGACAGTCTGTAGGTCCATCTATATTCCTGTAAATAGCATTATTTTGTTCTTTTTAGTGGCTGAGTAATATTCCATTTTGTAAATAGCATTATTTTGTTCTTTTTAGTGGCTGAGTAATACTCCATTTTAAGTATGTACCACGTTTTCTTTGTCCATTCTCTGATGGACATTAATGTTTCCACGTTTAGGCTGTTGTGAATAGTCATGCTACGAGCATCGGGGTGCATGTATCTTTCTATTTAGTTTTTTAAGGAACCTCTACACTGTTCTCCACAGTGGCTGTACGGATATGCATTCCTAAGATGAGTGTAGGAGGTTTCCCATCTGTCCACGCCCTCTGTGGCATTTATTGTTTGTAGAGTTTTTGCTGATGGCCATTCTGAACGGTGTGAAATGATAGTTGATTGCAGTTTTGATCTGTATTTCTATAGTAATTAGTGATGTCTGGCATCTTCTCGTGTACTTCGTAGCCATCTGTGTGTCTTCCTCAGAGAAATGTCTATTCAGATCTTCCACCCATTTTTTGATTGGTTTCTTTTTTTGGTGCAAACTGCATAAGCTGTTTGTATATTTTGGAGATTCATCCCTTGTCTGTTACTTTCTTTGCAAATGTTCTCTTTCATTCTGAAGGCTGTGTTTTTTTTTTTTTTCCATTTTGCCTATAGTTTCCTTTGCTGTGAGAAGCTTTTAAGTTTAACTAGGTCCCATTTGTTTGTTTTTGTTTTTATCACTCTCGGAGGTGGATCAAAAAAAGATCTTACTGCAACATGTACCAAGCCTCTTCTGCCTACGTTTTCCTATAAGAATTTTATAGCATTCAGCCTTACATTTAGGTCTGTAATCCATTTTGAGTTTATTGTTGTGTACAGTGTTATAGAGTGTTCTGCTTTCATTCTGTTATGTTTAACTGTCCAGTTTTCCCTTCACCGCTTTTTAGAGAGACTGTCTTTGCTGCATTGTGTATTTTTGCCTTTTTTGTCAGAGGTCAGGTGGCCTCAGAGGTCAGGCGGCCAGAGGTGCTGGGTTTTTCTCTGGACTTTCTGTGCTATTCCATTAGTCTCTGTTTTTGTGTGAGTACCATGCTGTTTTGATGACTGCAGCTTTGTAGTATAGTCTAAGTCAGGGACCTTATTCCTCCAGCTCCATTCTTCTTTCTCAAGATCACTTTGGCAAGTTGGGGTCTTTTGTGTTTCCATACAAACTGTGGCATTTTTTGTCCTGATTCTGTGAAAACTGCCATTGATAATTTGATAGGGCTTGCATTGAATTTGTAGACTGCTTTGAGTAATACAGTCGCGTTCACAATGTTTGGTCTTCCAATCCAAGAACATAGGATATCTCTCCATCTGTTTTTGTCATCTTCTATTTCTTTCATCAGTAATTTATAGTTTTCAGAGTATACATCTTTTTGCCTCCTTAGGTAGGTTTATTCCTCAGTTTGTATTCTTTTTAATGTGGTGGTAAATGGGATTGTTTCCTTGATTTCTTTTTCTAATCTTTCATTGTAGGTGTGTGGGAATGCAAGATTTCAGTGTATTAATTTTGTATCCTGCAACTTTACCAGATTCACTGATGAGCTCTAGTAGTTTTCTGTAGCATCTTTAGGGTTTTCTCTGTAAACAATGACAGTTTCACTTCTTCTCCAATTTGGATTCCATTTATTTTTTTTTTCTTCTCTGTTTGCTGTGGTAAGGACTTCTAAGATGATGTTGAGTATTAGTGGTGAGAGTGGGTATCCTTGTCTGTTCCTGATCTTAGAGGAAATGTGTTCCTCTTTTCACATTGAGTACAATGTTTGCTGTGGGTTTGTTGTAATGGCCATTATTATCTTGAGGTAGGCTCCCTCTATAACCTGCCAACACTTTTAAAGGCTCTCTTAACACCAGAAGTAAGACAGAATGAGGCAGGGCTACTCTGAGAGTAGAGAACAGCCTTCAAGCAGAGTGAGGGTGCTGCGTGGACTTGCTCCCTCCTGCTTGCTCCTTGGTGGCTCGCCACATCAGGGCAGCCGAGCCGCCCAAGCTCCGAGGGGCCTGCGCTGCACCCGGTGTCTCTGTGGCTGCATCTCCTGTGGGTGCTGGGAGCTCAGAAGAGTGAGGAGACAGCCCACTGCTCGTGCCACGCGTCTCCCCAGGGCGGACCCTGCCCTGTCCCTTGGGCCAGCGTGGCCCAGCCTGGGTGCCGGGAAGACTGCCGTCCGCCCCGCCAGTCCCCTCCAGGCTCCGCCGCCTGCTGGCCCCGGGGTGTATGTGCAGCTGCCCCCACGCCCCCCTGAGCTCGTCCCGGGACGCAGGGCCTCTTGCTGCCCTGCTGACAGGTCAGACCTGCTGCTGCTTCGAGGGACCAGAGCAAGATCCCCCGCGGCCTCTGAACCCAGGGTTCCATGTGAACAGGAATGGTGAGCCTGGCTGCCTCCCACTGGGGAGGTCATGGCAACTGTCAGTGACAGAAGGAGTGCGTGGCGGTCTGGAGCGCATTGGTGCTGCGCCCACTCCTGAGAGAGCAGTCACTTGGGTGAGGAAAGGGTGCCTGACCCTGTGACAGCATCCCCTGTTTTGCTTCCTTCCAGGAAACCCGGGGTCACCATGGGCCTGCTGGTATAAGGATGTGCACACTTGCACTACCATCTACTTCATCACCGTCATCATCCTCATCATCATCATCATCATCGGCTCAATTCCTGTATGCTATTTTGTTGTCTGCCGTAGGAGAAAAGGTTGGTCAGAGTCATGTTGACCTGGAGGAAGCTAGGTCAACAAAGGCATCAGGAGCTCAGAGAAGGGGTCTGGGGTCGGTGTGACTGGGCAGGAGCCTCTGGTATAAAATTCAGATCAGTTCACATTCTAACTTGGGGCCTCACGTGTGTGTGAGCTCAGAGCCACCTGCTGTGTGCCTCCCGACATGCAGGGCCAGGTCCGCTGCTGGACACAGGGTGTCCCGGGCACTCTGGGCCTGGAAGCAGGGACAAACTGGTGCTGCTCCAGCCCCGGGGCCCTGGGGGAGGCGGTGCTGCATGCTGGGGAGGCTTACTGAGTAAGTGCCCCTCCTGTTTTCCCAGCTGCACAGGTGTTCCAGTCAATTTTTTTCCGTAGCTGTAAATACACTTTCTTTGTTGTAAATTTAAAGTACTTCCTCTCGCTCACAGATATCACTATAACGGTTAATATGATTGTTTTCATTTCTCTCTCCTTTTTGATTTGCAGGAAGTTGGAATATGCTAAGTGGCTCTGTAAGTATCGCCCCGGGATTTGTCCAGGGGTGCCCCAGGAGACATCCCAGGGTGGGCGGGGCAGCCCCAGGCCTTCCCACCTGCGTCCACACCTGGCCTGTGTGATGGGGTCTGCGCCCACCTTACCTGGGCTGTGGAACATCTGTTCTGGATGACTTGAATTCTGCTGAAGCAAGGGGGACAGGGACATCCTGTGGGTGCCTGGGGCTGCAGACAGATCTGGATAGAGGGGGACTTAAAAAGTGCGGCAGTTGGAGAAGGAAATGGCAACCCACTCCAGTATTCTTGCCTGGAAAAATCCATGGACAGAGGAGTCTGGCGGACTGAAGTCCATGTGATTACATGACTGAGCATGTGTGCATGAGGGTGGAGGGAGATGGGTTGGTAGCAATAAACTGGTAGAACTAAAAAACAAAACAAAAAAGTGCGGCAGTTACTGTTCCCACAGTTCTGGAAGCCAGAGATCTGAAATCACAGCTTGGCGGGGTGGTTCCCTGGGTGCTCCGGGGGAGGGTCCTTCCTTGCTGCTCCTAGTGGGGGCTGGACGTGCCTGGCGCTCCTCAGTTGGTGCGTGATTGCTCTACTTCTGGCTATCTTCCCTCGGCCTCTCCCACTGTGAGCTTGTCTCTGAGTCTCTCCTTGTAAGGACACTGACTTCGGAATATAGGTCCCAGTCTTACGCAGTAGAACCTCAGCTGCACAGACGCTATTTCTACATAGGCCCTCTCACAAGTTCTAGGGGTGAGGATGTGAATGTATCTTTGGGGACCACCATCCAGCCCCCCCGCAGGGTGACCTGGGACCCCCAGAAGCTGGTGGTAGAGAGGAACCTGACCCCCAGCAGTATTCCTTTCTAAAATTGCACACGCTCGCTTACCTGTCAGACAGTTCATTTGTTCCCTAAAGTGGCTTGAGAAGGGCTTGGCCTGCAGGCTCCTGTCACCAGAATGAATGTCTTTATCCTTTAGCCCCCAGGAACCAGGCAGTCCAGCGACCTTGAGAATGGCCCACCAGCCCCGGGTGGGGACACCAACCTAGAGTTGCTGAACAAAGGCCCGCTGACCTCCAAGGGCCCTGGAGGTGCTGAGCCGCTGCAGTTGGCTAACGGAGGTCTAGCAGCGCCAGGGCAGCCAGAAGAGCAGACCGAATTCTCGAGGCCCCCAGGACCGCCGGCCAAGCAGAGCCATCCACCTCTGTCGATGGCTAGGAGCAGGAGCTCAGACCATCCGGTGAGTGTGCACCAGGGCCCCGCCATGCGGCGGAGCTCTCTCTGCAGCAGGGCTGTGTGCGGGGCTCCTGCTGAGTTCCCAACTCAGTCTCCTGGGCTGCCGTAACCTGCCCACACCTGCGCAGGGAGTGGGTGTTTAAACACGGATTGTAGCGTCTCATGGTCCTACGTGGGAATACCAGTCTGCCTGACCTGCCTCCTGAGAAACCTGTATGCAGGGCAAGAAGCAACAGAACTGGAGAAGGAGCAACAAACTGTTTCAAAATTGGGAAAGACGTGTGTGAAGGCTGTATAGTGTCACCCTGCTTATTTAACTGCTGTGCAGAGTGTAACATGCGAAATGCGGGACCGGATGGATCACAAGCTGAAATCAAGAGTGCAGGTAAATGTCAACAACCTTAGATGTGCAGATGACACCACTCTAATGGGAGAAAGTGAAGAGGAACTAAAGAGCCTCTTGATGACAGTGATAGAGGAGAGTGAAAAAGTTGGCTTAAAACTCAACATTCAGAAAACTAAGATCATGGCATCTGGTCCCATTACTTCATGGCAAACAGAAGGGGAAACAATGGAAACAGTGACAGACTTTATTTTCCTGGGCTCCAAAATCACTGAGGATAGTGGCAGCAGCCATGGAATTAAAAGACACTTGCTCCTTGGAAGAAAAGCAAACCTAGACAGCATATTAAAAAGCAGATGCATCGCTTTGCCAACCAAGGACCATATAGTAAAAGCTATGATTTTTTCAGTAGTTATGTACAGATACGAGAGTTGGACCATAAAAAGAAGACAGTGTGGAAGAGCTGATGCTTTCGAGCTGTGATGCTGGAGAAGATGCTTCGGGTCCCTGGGACTGCAAGGAGATCCAACCAGGCAACACTAAAGGAAATCAACCTTAAATATTCATTGGAAGGACTGATGCTGAAGCTGAAACTCCACTACTTTGGCCACCTGATGCAAAGAGCTGACTCATTGGAAAAGACCCCGATGCTGAGAAAGATTGAAGGTGGGAGGAGAACGGGATGACAGGATGAGATGGTTGGATGGGATCGACGCGATGGAAATGAGTTTGAGCAAGCTCCGGGAGTTGGTGAGGGACAGGGAAGCCTGTTTTGCTGCGGTCCATGGCCTCAGGTCAAATGACAGGGAGGGAACACAGCCCCGCCCATCAACAGAAAATTGAGTTAAAGATTTACTGAGCACGGCCCCACTCATCAGAACAAGACCCAGTCTCCCCCTCAGTCAGTCTCTCCCATCAGGAAGCTTCCATAAGCTTCTTATCTGTCTCCATCAGAGGGCAGAGAGAATGAAAACCACAGTCACAGAAAACTAACCAATCTGATTACATGAACCACAGCCTTGTCTAACTCAAGGAAANCTGGGCTGGAAGAAGCACAAACTGGAATCAAGATTGCCGGGAGAAATATCAATAACCTCAGATATGCAGATGACACCACCCTTATGGCAGAAAATGAAGAACTGAAGAGTGTCTTGATGAAAGTGAAAGATGAGAGTGAAAAAGTTGGCTTAAAACTCAACATGCAGAAAACTAAGATCATGGCATCTGATCATGGCAAATAGATGGGGAAACAGTGGAAACTGTGGCTGACTTTATATTTTTGGGCTCCAAAATCACTGCAGATGGTGACTCCAGCCATGAAAATAAAGGACACTTGCTCCTTGGAAGAAAGTTATGACCAACCTAGACAGTGTATTAAAAAGCAGAGACATTACTTTGCCAACAAAGGTCCATTTAGTCAAAGCTATGTTTTTCCAGAAGTCATGTGCAGATGTGAGAGTTGGACTATAAAGAAAGCTGAGCGCTGAAGAATTGATGCTTTTGAACTGTGGTGTTGGAGAAGACTCTGGAGAGGCCCCTGGACTGCAAGGAGATCCAACCAGTCCATCCTAAAGGAAATCAGTCCTGAATGTTCATTGGAAGGACTGATGCCGGAGCTGAAACTCCAATACTTTGGCCACCTGATGCAAAGAACTGACTTATTTGAAAAGACCCTGATGCTGGGGAAGATTGAAGGCAGGAGGAGAAGGGATGGCAGAGGATGATATGGTTGGATGGCATCACTAAATCAATGGACATGAGTTTGAGTAGACTCCGGGAGTTGGTGATGGACAGGGAGGCCTGGCATGCTGCAGTCCATGGGGTCACAAAGAATTGGACACGACTGAGTGCCTGAACTGAACTGAAGTGATGGGGTCGCAAACAGTCAGAGACGACTTAGCGACTAAACATCAATAACAACATGGTTCTGGAGGCTGGAAGTCCCAGATCAAGTTGTGGGCGGGGTCCGGTCCTGCCGAGGGCTGTAGGCAGAATCTGGGGAGGCCTCTCCCCTCTCCTCGTGGTCTCTGGAGTCCGGGAGGTGCCTTGGCTGGAGAAGCACCCCTTCTCCGTCTTCATCCTTGGAGATCTTCTCCCTGTGTCAGGGCCTGTCCGGCTTCCCCTCTTTATGGGGAGTCCAGTCCTGTGGGGTGAGGGCCCACCCTAGTGATCCCAGCTTAACTCTGTCACGGGTGCGGTTGCAGGTTCCAAATACGGTCACAGTCTCGGGTCCTGGGACGACTTCAGCATCTCTGGGCAGGGGACACATTCAACCCTTTATGGTCCCCAGCATGACCTGCTGTCTGAGGGGACGTGGACTGAGGGGGGCCACGGCTCAGGGTGTACCCTGGGCGCCGTGGCTGGGAAACAGCAGGACTGAGGACGCTCACCCCCCTGGTGCTGGGCCCTGCAACCTCCTGAGGGGTTAGCAGAGCGGGACATGGCACTGGAGACGGGGCTGCAGGGGCGGCGGCGGGGGCGGGGGCTCGATCCCGTGAAGGGGGTGAGTTGTCCCGGGGTGGCCACATCAGCCGTGTTCAGCGGGAAGGGAGCATTCCCATCCTCCGCGGTGTCCCAGCTTGGCGACACCTGAAGAGGGTTTGCCAGCTGAGCAGGCACCCGCCCTGTGGCCCCAGGAAGGAGCTCGAGGGCATGATGAGGAGCCCTAAGACTGGGTGAGGGTGGGCATTGAGGGGCAGGGTGCCTGAGATGAGATGCTGGGCCCCTGTGGCTTGACTGTGGCACAAGCCTGCGGCTTGAGGACTCCTGACACTGTGGGGTCTGTGAGTCGGGCGCCCTGACGTATCGTCTCAGGGAGCCGGCGGCCTGAGACAAACAAAGTGCAGGAGTTGGGACCCCCAGCCGGTGTCCGAGGGGGGACACTGGGAGGGTCAGGGTGGGCAGGCTGCGCCCTGGGTGTCCCCCCCGGGGCTGCGCTGCAAGAGGGCCCCTGTGCGTGCCCTGCCCTTCCAGCCGCGGCACGGGGGTGGTCCCTGCCCGCCTTGGGCAGAGGCAGAGCTGAGATTTAAACGTGGGTCAGGCTTCCGGCCGCAGGCCCAGGTGAAATCGAGAGTGGAGCTGCCCGTCGTATCTGACTCTTGGTGACCCCGTGGACTGTAGACTCCCAGGCTCCTCCACGCGTGGGAGTTTCCAGGCACGACCACTGGAGTGGGGTGCCATCTGATAATAAAGGGAACGCCTGCCCTGGTCCAGGGAGAACCACGTACTTGGAGCCGTCTCTCGTGGTGGCTTCTTCAGGCAGGTCAGTCTGAAGCCCTGTCCAAGCCGATTTCCCTGAACTGGGAAGCTCTGTGGAGCCGTCACTAGCGTTTGCCCACCGTGCATGTCTGTGGACCCCTGTCCTCCCCACTGTAGGACGGGCGGGTGGAGCAGGGCCTGGGTCTGGAGAAGTCGTGAGGCCATTGGGAGCAGCTGGGACCCCTGCCCACCCGGGCAGAGCAGCACTCACTGTCCAGGGTCGCCCCTGCACCCAGCGTGTGTCCTGGGGGAGCGTGGCCCCGAGGACACCATGGGCCCCGAGGTCTCCGTTGCCCTTGGAGGTTGGGGCGGGCTCCCCACAGGCCAACTCACGGGTCTTCTTATGTCCATGGAGGCCCACCGGCCTCCACGCCACTGGTCCCCCTAAAAACCAAGTTTGGGTTCTATTTCTGTAGAGTTCCTTTAAGAGGCCCCAGAGATTTCTGCTCCTAGAACAATGTCATTCTCCTCTCTCTGCAGCAATGTGACGAGAACAGTTTTTGAAAGATGTTTCCTGTGATGGTAAGTAATCTAAATTCTTCATTTGTTTTTGTTGTTGTTTATTTATTAATAGTTTTTTTTTATATTTGTTGATGAAGTTTTTCATGTATTTCTTTAGGCTTAAATCTTCTTTGTTTGACATGAATGCCAGGGCCTAATGTCTTTCTGTTTGAGAAAGGAGAAGCTTAGGGTACTTTCCTGTGGTCTGAAGATCCACTTTTTTCACATTTACCAGTGACATTAGAGCAACAGTTATTTGTCAAATAGAAATTCTGTGGGGTTCATCAGGAAAAGGTAGAATGTTGGTTTTATTTTATTATACATTCATGGGGTTTTTTTTTAAGTTTTTTTTTTTTAATGTGGACCGTTTCTAAAGTCTTTTCTGAATTTTGTTACAATATTACTTCTGATTTATGTTTTTTGATTTTTTGGCCACAAGTTATGTGGGATCTTAGTTCCCAATCAGATGTCGAACCTGCACCCCCTGCATTAAGAATTCCCAAATAATGGACCACCTGGGAAGTCCCTACACTCTTGCTTTTAAGAAAAAACACGAGTCATGATAGGAATTCTTATCTAACTAGATTAGCAGGTCCCTGTTGGCTGGGTTGCTGTGTGTTCACTGGCACAGGAGTCCACGAGTCAAGGTTTATCGAGCACATACTACATGCCGGGTGCTTTTTATAATCTTATTCTAACAGCCCTGGGAGACTGTGTCATCACACAGATTTAAAACATGACCACCCAAAGCTCAGAGAAGCTACAAAACTTGCCCAAGATCTCACCACCTGACCTAGTCCAGCACTCACACCAGAAGCCCTACCCGTCCCAAGCCCCTCACAGCATGTCTCTGGGTGGCAGGGCAGGGCAGGGCAGATGCCCACGTGTGCTGCATCAGCAAGGCTGACTTGCCTGAGTTTCCTTGGTTCCTTCTCCTAAGCCCTCCCAGCTCCAGTAAGGAATCAGCAACGGACATGTAAGGAGACACGGCAGGTTGCCTCCTGGCCTCTTGGCTTGGCCCCTTCTTCAGGACCATCTGAGCTGGCACAGGCCCCCCAGGTCACAGGCTGTGGTGTGCAGCCCAGCGCCGAGCCCTTGGCAGGTGGAAACGCCTCTAGGAGTACACTCCCAGGGCAGGGTCACTGGATACTCTTGTCTTCCAAGAATATAAACAAACTCTCTCTCTTTTTTTTTTTCCCAGCCATCAATAAGAACTTGTGCAATCTGTGCTTGCTTCGGCAGCACATATACTAAAATTGGAATGATACGGAGAAGATTAGCATGGCTTCTGCGCAAGGATGACATGTCCATTCGTGAAGCGTACCATATTTTTGGACTCTATGGGAGAAGGCAAGGGTGGGATGATCTGAGAGAACAGCATTGAAACATGGATACTATCAAGTGTGAAACAGATCACCAGCCCAGGCTGGATGCATGAGACAAGTGCTCAGGCCTGGTGCACTGGGATGACCCAGAGGGATGGGATGGGGAGGGAGGTGGGAGGGGGGATTGGGATGGGGAACACATGTAAATCCATGGCTGATTCATGTCAATGTATGGCAAAAACCACTACAATATTGTAAAGTAATTAGCCTCCAACTAATAAAAATAATTGGGGGGGGGAATATGTTTTAGAGACAAATAGCAATTAACAGTACAGTGTAAGGATGATGTTAAACAAAATGTGTTTGCACAGGTTGGTTCACTTCAGTTCAGTTCAGTCACTCAGTNCGGGATGGGGAATACATGTAAATCCATGGCTAATTCATTTCAATGTATGACAAAAACCACTACAATGTTGTGAAGTAATTAGCCTCCAACTAATAAAAATAAATGGAAAAAAAAAATACCCCCCACAAAAAAACAAAAAGAACTTGTGCAATCTGACATTAGTTTCCAGAAATTAACTGGAAGATGTTTATGGGGTTTACTGGATTTGACGAAAATGACAAGATGTGGAAACACAAGTGAAGTCGCTCAGTCGTGTCCGACTGTTTGCAACCCCATGGACTGTAGCCGACCAGGCTCCTCCTCCCATGGATTTTCAAGGCAAGAGTACTGAAGTGGGTTGCCATTTCCTTCTCCAGGGGATCTTCCCAACCCAGGGACTGAACCCAGGTCTCCTGCATTGTAGGCAGATGCTTTTACCCTCTGAGCCACCAGAGAAGTCCATGGAAACACAAACATCTAGTAAATTTGGAAAGACTCCTCAGGAGGAGAAATGGGCTAGGGAGGGACGTTTCTATTTTTTGTGGGTTTTTTTTTTTTTTTGCTACATGGCATAGCATATGGGACCTTAGTTCCCCCAGCAGGGATTGCACCTAAACCCTGCAGTGGAAGCGTGGAGTCTTAACCACTGGACCACCAAGGAAGCCCCTGTGGAGAGATATCTCTTAAACTCATGGCTGCTTTCCATAAAATGCAGCTACAGAAATGATTGCAGAATATTATCAACAAATTGGTTACTGACAGCACCTTAGGTAGACCTGCAGAGACGGCCCAGCAAACTCTTTTTGCCCAAGGTTGTGACTATAGGCGGTGTCCTGGATGGGTGGGATCTGAGTTTCTTTCCCAGTTCTGGTCCCATTGGAAACTTGATGAATCCCAGACAGAGCTGTGGCCCTTCTCCACATCAGTTCAGTTCAGTTGTTCAGTCGTGTCTGACTGCAACCCCATGAGCTGTAGCACGCCAGGTCTCCCTGTCTATCACCAACTCCTGCAGCCTACCCAAACTCATGTCCTTTGAGTCAGTGATGCCACCCAGCCATCTCATCCTCTGTCGTCCCCTTCTTCTGCCCTTAATCTTTCCCAGCATCAAGATCTTTTCAAATGAGTCAGCTCTTCGCATCAGGTGGCCAAAGTATTGGAGTTTCAGCTTCAGCATCGGTCCTTCCAATGAACAGGACTGGTTGGGTCTCCTTGCAGTCCAAGGGACTCTCAAGAGTCTTCTCCAACACCACAGTTCAAAAGCATCTTCTTTGGCGCTCAGCTTTTTTTATAGTCCAACTCTCACATCCATACATGACTTTTGGAAAAACCATAGCTTTGACTGGACGGACCTCTGTTGGCAAAGTAACGTCTCTGCTTTTTAATATGCTGTCTAGGTTGGTCATAACTTTCCCTCCAAGGAGTAAGCATCTTAAATTTCATGGCTGCAGTTACCATCTACAGTGATTTTGGAGCCCCCAAAAATAAAGTCAGCCACAGTTTCCACTGTTTCTCCCTCTATTTGCCATGAAGTGATGGGACCAGATGCCATGATCTTAGTTTTCTGAATGTTGAGCTTTAAGCCAGCAGATTCTCTATAACCTTCTGGCAGGGAGGTCAGCTCTACACCTCAGCAGAAGTGCTGCTCTGCCAGGGCAGGGTGGGTCAGGAGCACTGCCTGTGGCATGACAGAGCTGGACCCCAGGGGGTGGCTCACTGAACTGGGTGAGCTCACATTGAGCTGAGGCCAGGAGACTTTGGTGGTTGTCCCTGTGTCCCCAGCAACTCCTTGGTCTCGGAGCTATGGTGATGTCTCCATGACCTAGGACAGGGCCTGGCATTGAGGAGGTGTCCATAGATAGTAGGAGCAGATGATGGCAGGTGGCCTGGCAGCCACTCTGCACACTCACAGATACTGGTCCAGACCTGGCACTGCAGGAAGACTATTCCAGTCAAAGATGGCAAAAGACTAATACTCTGTGATAACCTATATGGGAAAAGAATTTGGACAGTAATGGATACATGTATGTGTGTAACTAGATCACTTAGCAGGGTGCTCAAGGACACAGGCTGCGGAGCAGCAAGAACAACCTCCAGGGCACATATATACAATGGGAGATCACTCAGCTATAAAAAGGAAAGAAATCGGGTCGTTTGTAGTGATGTGTATGGACCTAGCATCTGTCATACAGGGTGAAGAAAGAAAAATATTGTATATTAACACATACGCGTGGAATCTAGAAAAAACAGTGCAGGAGTAGAGATGCAGATGTAAGGGACTGATGTGGACAGGTGGGGATGGGGAAGGTAGGACGAACTGTGATTGGGATTGACATGCTACCATGTGTAGAATAGCTAGCTAGTGGTAAACTGCTGGATAGCACAGGAAGGGACTTCCCTAGTGATCCACTGGCTCACACTGTGCTCCCATTCAGGGGGCTGGGGTTCGATTCCTGGTCAGGGAACTAGATCCCACATGCTGCAACTGACGATTTCCTGCACACCAGAACGAAGATCAAAGTCACTACAATTAAGGCCCAGGACAGCCAAAAAAATAAATGCGTAAAAAAGGGGGAAAAAAAAAAAGCTGCCTATAGCCTAGGGAGCTCAGCTTGGCGCTCTGTGACTGCTTAGAGGGGCAGGACGGTGTGTGGGAGGGGGGCTCAAGAGGGGAGCTATGTGTACACACGGCTGTTTCAGCTCGTTGTGCAAGAGAAGCAAGGACAGTATGAAGTAATTATGCATTTGATTTTTTGTTGTTGTTTAAAGAGTGACTGGTCCGATAGAGACCAGACTGGGTTGTCAAGGGATAGGGGGAAAGGGGAGGGATGAAATGGGAGGTTGGTGTTAGCAGATGGAATTGGAGTTAGCTTTTTAATATAGATTATCCACAGTGTCCGACTGTATAGAACAGAGAACTAAATTTCCTATCATACTATATTTAATATGACAAGTCATAATGGAAAAGAATATTAAGAATGTATACATGTATAGCTGTCACTCTGTTGTACAACATTGTTAATCAACTATCAGTTCAGTTCAGTCGCTCAGTCATGTCCGACTTTGCGACCCCATGGACTGCAGCACGCCAGGCTTCCCTGTCCATCACCAACTCCCGGAGTTTACTCAAACTCCTGTCCATCGAGTCGGTGATGCCATCCATCCATCTCATCCTCTGTCGTCCCCTTCTCCCGCCTTCAATTTCCCAGCATTTGTGTCTTTTCCAATGAGTCAGTTCTTCGCATCAGGTGGCCAAAGTTTCGGAGTTTCAGCTTCAACATCAGTCCTTCCAATGAACATTCAGGACTGATTTCCTTAACGGCAGTAAAAATTGAGGGTTAAAAAAAAAAAAAAAAGATTCCCAGCATGCCCGGGGCCAGCGGCGTCTGGGCGCCGGTGGTTGCTTAGCGACCGGGCGTATCCCGGAAGGCCGGCGGCTTGGGGGCGGGATTTCCGGGGCGGTGGTTGCATCAGATTCTGGGAAGCCGTGGCGGCCTCGGCGACTGCGGGATTCGGGTGATGGCAGGGTCCTCCACGGAGCAAGGTGAGCGCGCGCGAGTGGCGGGCGGGGCAGCCTCGGGCCGCGGGGCTCTGGGGGCCACCCTGGAGCCGGGGGCGCCGGGTCTCTGAGGGGCGGGCCCCAGGGCGCGCAGAAGGCGGGCCCGGACCCCCGGGTTTTCCCCGGTGGGCGCGCTCCTCCAGCCCCGGCCCGGGCCCTGCCGGGGCCGCCCCTCCCCAGGCCCTCCCAGACCTCGAGGCCGCAGGGTCCCCCCTGCGCCCCGATCCCGGGGGCTGGTTCTGCGTTCCCCTGCGGGCCCCTGGGCCGGACCTTGCCCCCTCCTGCCCCCTGGGATTTGGGGGGACAGGCACAGCTCCAGGGTCGTTTGGGGGCCGCCCGGCCTCGGGTTGACACTTAGGAACGTGGGGCCGAGGGAGCCGGACGCGGACGCACGGGAAAGGGTTGGGGTTTTACGAAGGCGCTCATCTGCGGCTGCAAGCAGTGGCCACGGGGACCTGCCCGATCGCGGCGTTACTGCCCCCTCTTTATCGCCGCCCCCGGGGTTCCGTGAGCGTCTCAGGCTCTGTCCCCACGGGTCACTCGTGTCACCATCCGGCAGACAAGCCGCCTCCGGGGCGTGCTGGTTCCCTGGTCACCCTCCCTCCTCCAAGATCGCGGGATGCCAGACAGAGCGCAGGTAGTCCCCGGATTCCCGAGTCCGTGTCAAGCTTTCCTCGGGAAGAACTCTCGGGGCATCGTTTTTATTCTCTGGCTGCCCTGCTTCGACTGTACACACCTCCCCGGCCTCTGGGGTCCCCCTTGCTCCTGGAGTTCCCAGCAGGGAGCTCTAAGCAGCTGGACCCGGTGATGTGGGAGGCCCCTGATGACAGGGTTGCTGGGGTACCCATCATCCAGGCACCCCACATTCCACCGGACAGGTGTGCCTGGATTCCAGCATTGGCTCCACCCACCCAGATCCTCGGCCCTCGGAAGTCCACCCAGACTCCTGAAAAATAGCAGCTTGGTTGATAGCCCAGTCTCTGGGCCCGGCAGGGCTGGGGTTCCACCTCTGCCCCTTCCCCACGTGGGGCGGGTTTAAAAAGTCCCCACTAGGAGGATGCAGTGAGCCTTATAGGGGTTGGTAGAGGCTAAGACTTAGAAGAACACTTGGCTGAAAGGGGTGCTGTGTTCGGGTT